AAAAAAAGTTTAGCTTAGCTAGAAGTCGAATCTAAAGCTTTATAGATTGTTATAATATACTCTTCTGCCAATATAGAGAAGCAAATTATAGTATCGATATATACTATATTATCATTATATCATCAGGCCTTATTTAGAGGTTGATTATATAACTCTTCTTCTTTTTATATTATATTAAGCCTCTTGCCCTATAGCTACTATATGGTATAGTATATTCTTAGGGTTATATCTTTTGTATTGTATCATACTATACCGTATGACTAGAGCCTCTATCGTTGTATGACAGTAGATATAGCATCTCGATTTTATAGTTAGATTTTAGCCTTATGTCTATAGGATAGTCTAGGGCTGACACTTATATAGGGTTTTCTTTACCTTAGGGTTGTTTCTACCCTTAGGGTTAAGATTGTCTTTTGTATACCTCTCTCCTCCTTCCTTCTCCTCTTTTACTTCTAACTCTAACTAGACTATACCAAAATCTATATTCAAACTTTAACTATCTATATCTTCATCATCATACTTCCATAGCTTATATACTCTTATATCTGCTGTCATACTACTATCTTCTCTCGTCTGATCTGATTTATAGTCGTTTTATCGTATAGGAACCTGGGGATATCTACCCTCTACCTTCGAGAGGATATCTACCCCCTAATCTTTTCGTTTCCGTCCGTACGCCCCATACGAGACTAAGGGGATATGCTGCCAGCGTATGCCGCTGTATGACGGCTAAAGTTTTTCTAGCTTTAAATAAATATAAGCAAACTGGTTTTAAGTGCTTTTAATAGTTATTTTATCTACTTTCAATTTATTCTTTATTTTTTTAAACTATATTTAGAAGGTATTTTATATACTTTCGAATTTTGATAGGTTAGAAAAAGTGGCTTTTTTCTTTCTTAGTTTAAAGATTAAGCTTTTATTAGATAGTATACTTATAGTACTCTTTATTCTAGTTTGTCTTTTGACTTTTAGTTATTGAATTCTTTCTTTAAGCTGACTAATCAGCTTTATTACTATATTTTGTATAATTCCTTTAATAAAAAACCTTTCTATATTATAGTCATTTATAATTTAATAAATACTTAGATATTGTTTTGTTTATAAAGTTTGTATGATTATCTACTATCTAATCTTTTTTATATAATTGTTTTAACTAACTAACTAACTAACTAACTAACTAACTAACTAACTAACTAACTAAAATACTATTTTATAATAAATGATAGCTTTATTTAAACTTACTATTGTTTGATAATAGTTGTTAACATTCTCTTAATAATATAGCTTAAATAAATGTTTATACTTTTATATCTAATTAGTTTAAATTTATATAATTAAGTTTAAAAAAAAGTTAAATTATAATATAATAAACTAAATAGATAGTTTATTTAATTAACTATAGTCTTAATAATAAGAATAATTTAACTAAAAAGAAAAAAAAAAAATAATCTTTAAAGCTACTCTTTCCTTCTTATTAAATAATAGTCTTCTTCTTTTATTAATCAGTCTATATCATCTAAAATTTACTTATCTTTTTAATAACCTTTAAAGTAGTAAGCTTATAAGTTTATTCTTATCATAAAAGTCTTCAACCTTTATTTTCCCTCTACTAAGAAATCCTCCCAACGTAAAGTAATTAAGTCAATTGTCCCTAGGCTATTTCTCCAAAGTCTGATCAGCTTCTAAATATGTTCCATTCTTTGACTATGGTCTTGTGTGGGTGGTGGTAGTGATTTGGGTGATTGCTATATGTATGTAAGGCTGAAAGGTGCTGAAGCCATCATGTAGGGTTCGCAACCTGTGACACTTATATATTAATCGATTCTTTATAATATAGTATATATGATTCTCACCTTAGATATATAGATTTCCTTAGTTATAAGTAGACTATATTTTATCTTATCCTTAAGGACCCCTACAAATGCAGTTTAACCCCCTGGGCTAATGGGGAAATGCAGTCTATCCTCCCGCCATTTTTGCTGGCTAGCCTCGTATAATGGGGTGGGTAGCCTGCATCTGGGGATGGACGGCTAAGCTTTATAACTTATATTACGAATATTCTATAGTAATGTTCAACCTTAACTTAAATCTAAAACGATTCTTTGTACTCTTACTATAAAAGTTATGTCTCCTCTAGGTAGGATTTCTCACAACAGGGGTAATAGTCGCAAGGTTCGCCTCTGTCACGCCAGTTACGACCATCTAGTGTATAGTAACGCCAGGTCCAGTTATCAATCAGCAGTTGCATTTCGCAGATAGGGAAGTTGAAAAAGCCCGCACTCCCGACGCCGTCCTGTAAAGGGAGATAGAGATCATCTCCCAGTCCGCCTCCGGCCTCGCTAAGAGGATAGGGGTTTTTCTTCCCATTGTTGATCCATCCCCGAAGCCCAGAGAGAGCTATAGTTTCGAAAGAGAGTTGGTAGGGGTTAGATCCCGCCATGAGGCTGTCGGTACCCTGAAGCTTGCCACAGACCTGTGGATGGGGGAGACCGGCGTCGTCGTGAGACTTGACCCTGACAAGCCAAACAGTATGATCGTTGACCTCATCATATACCCTTACAGACTCGGCGTCTTCGTCTGTTATCCACGTCGAGAGGCCTTCCCCACCATCAACCGTGCTTGTTTCCGTTGGATTGCCTTCGTAGTTTCCCTCTGTTACTATCAAAGTAGGGTATTGATTATTGCTCATCCTCCAGGCCTGCTGAATCAAAATACCATTAAATGCCTGGAGGAAATCGTCTTCCATTTTCGGCTTATCGTTTCCAAACACTGCCATGGGATCATCGAGCCAGAGGCCATTGGCACAGATCTTCTTGAGCGATTCTTGGCCCCACACGTCGTTGCAGTTGAAGATATATTTGAGATAGTTTGCGATTGCTTTCTTGGTGCCGTTGACTAGTGCCCCCGCCGCAATGTCCAGCTTGCCCACATTGGCGATCTGCTTCTCCACCCTTTCGCAGAATTTGTCAGCTAACTTCCCAGAAAATGAATTTCTGAAACATACTCGGACTCTTCCTCTCCTGCGACGAGTTCATACGCATCCAGTGAGGTGGACACAGCACCGATCAGACTCTCTGCGGTCTCGACGCCTTTGGTCAAGGCATCGAACGCGCCAGCCTTTAGTATCTACAAGGGTATCAGCCTAAAGTGTCGTAGTGTATCCAGCCTGCAAGACAAGGACGCACCTTTCCCCAAAACCCGCCTCCTCCCACTTTGATAGCAATATCAAAGTACCCTAGGATTTGTTTCAGTATGTCGATATCACTTGTCTCGTTTAGGACAAAGTCGGTGGCGATCTGAGTTTCCCGCTGACTTAGCTTCTGGTGCCTGCACAGTGGAACTACTGATGAAACCTACAGAGATACAGTTGGTTTGGAGTTGTGGCTGTATATTCCCGACGGAATCGTACAGGTTGTTGTAGAACCTGTTGATATGCTCAAACGACAACATGACTAGGTCGAGTGAGACGTACTGGCTTTCTTTGACGCCGCACTCGTAGCCAATACTTGGCAGTGATATCTCGCATTAGGACGCACTTCAACGACCCGCAAACGATAGAAAATTAAAGAACTCACCAACTGCCAGGACTCTGTATGAGATTACAGCGGAATTCGAGGTTGCTTGCTCCCCAAACATTGAGAATAGCATAGGACTCGTCCAGCACAGGTATAGTGGCAATCGTTCCGTTCGCTTGCATGCACCAGGCACTGGTGTCTTCTAAAGCTCTTTGAGCTTTCACCGAGTTCCATCGGGTAACTACATCGTCAAACGGATTGCAGCAGTCCTCGCATGAGTCTCCAACTGTGTGTGAACGAGTTGTCAGAATTATCAGTGGTATTGTAGACAGCAGAGCCGCAGGGTGAGTAAGTGGACACTTACAGCACTGCCATGCGTCCACACCCTGTGAACTGGGATCAAGGTTTGCGCAGTGTTCGAGCGTTGGAGGTGGTGGGATTTTGATCCTCCTAAAGACCTCTCGGATTGTGGCTGCGCAGGCGTTCGACGGGCAGACGCCGCGAGGGCATGCCCATGCACAGAGAACCGCATACTCCGGCCCCTCGTCGTCGTATGGCCATCCACCCGATCCTATTAAAACCGGCTCTGGAGGTGCGACACCTCGTGCAGTGCACACGCAAGGTGGAGGGCTGTGACCGAGGTGAGCTATCAGTACCAGGGGAAGGGAAGCTTGCAATAGGAGAGCTGAGTTCAGGGTGCTACTAACCAAACATCGTACCGGCAGGTGAACTGGCACAATTCTGCGAAATTGTCAGGCCCATCACCAGAGATACAAGCCCCGCCTCCACCACCACCACCGCCACCACCGCCGCCTCCTGACGACGGGATGACGGGCAGTTGAGGATCGTGAACTCCATCCGGGTCGTCTCCCTGGGCATCGAGGCTGCCCGGACATCTGTTGAACCACGTTTCGGCCGTGTTGGTAAACTCATTTGTTATCGCATGCATATCAGCACGCCCGTCACCGTCAAGGTCGGGGAAGTACGTGCACGACCCAGACACGGCACCTAGGTACTCCATCCCGGCGATAACCCACGAGAACCGCGATCCGCCAATGTCCATGCGCCCGTTGTTGTACCAGAGATCACTATTGCCGTTCAACTTGTTGACCCAGAGCATATCGTCACGACCATCGCCATTCACATCAGCCCATTGCAGCTCGGCTCGATCCTTACCCTGGGAGAACTTGATCTGGTCTATGTACTCCCAGCTATCTCCATCCCCGTGGACAAATCCCCAGACACGACCATCCTTCTCGACACAGAGATAATCACCCTTACCATTGCCCGTGATGTCTGCAAAGTGAATTGGACGGTCGAAAAAGCCAATGCCACGCTTCTCGGGACAATATAGCGAGGGCGCTGGGTTAGGATTATACTCGAACCTGAGAACCCCCGTCTGCTTGATTGTGTTGCGCCAAAGCTGCACATGGTTTTGGTTATCCGGGTCGGTCCAAACAATATCGCAGGCTCCATCGCCATCCCAATCTGTCAGATGAAGATCACGACGGTCGAGGTACTTGCCAATTGCTTCCTGGGTCGGGTCCCAGAATATGTAATTGGCACCCCAGAAGTTTGGCCCATCATCTGTGACAGACTTGTATCCCACGTTTTCATAGATGTGCATTTCTCCCTTAGAGAGGATCCAGACATAGTCCTCCCTGCCGTCCTCGTGGGCCATCATATTGCAATAACGATCACCGTCGGCTACAGCTATCAGTAATCTTCATGTCTCGAAGGCCACCATACAGAACGATGGGTCAGACACTCACTCACCTTTGATTTTGGTTCCTCCAGAGCCGATGTTCTTCCAGACTCGCATATCGAACTGGTGCTTACCATCGACCTCGCTGTGCTGCATGAACACGTAGTCTTGTCGCCCAAGCAGACCAAAGTCCTGGGCAGTCCCATATATTCTCGCGAAATGGATTCGATCGCGAAAGCCGCCAGTGCCAAAAGCTCCCATGCCTCCGTGAGTCGGGCCTGAGCTCTGCCCACTGGCGAAGCCCTGCCGCCACGAAGGGTTGTCACCTCCGACATCGTTGATGCCATTCACGCAGCTTCGTGAGTTGGTCCAGGTGAAAGTCTGGCCGATATCACTGACCCAAAGCCAGTCGTCTCGGCCCTATTAAATCTTTGTGAGCTAAGAACTGTCGTTAGAGAGAGAATCTTGCACTTACATCACCGTTGATATCCTCAAAGCGAACTCCACGGAGATCACCCATTCCTTTGCCCGTAAAGAGAAGGCCAAGGTCCTCCCAGGAGGATGGTGAGTCGCCTGATTTAGAGCATCAGCCAGTCAACCCTCTCGTTATAGCAGAGCATCACGTCATTATGTACCTATTCCAGCGTTTCTCCAGCACGAAATATCTCCACTGTCAGCAGCTAGACAATAGTCGGCCCTGCCGTCGCCATCGATATCGGCCAGGCGCACGTGGCTTTGGTCGAAGCCGCTCACAGCGTCCTTGATCTTTCCAATGTCCTTGAAGGTTGGGGGCTGTGACGCCGTACCGTCGCCTTTGTTGATAGCGGCGTAGAGTTCACCGTTGGGGGAGATGCATACAAAATCATCCAAACCATCAGCTACGTCATGGAATTCATCAGCCAAGTGGTTTGGTGCGAGGTATGTCTGCTTATCTCTTACCATTCAAGTCGATGAATCGCACGCCACGAGGAATACAACCGTTGCCGGTGTACATATCCCCGATCTTGGTGAACTTGCCGTTACCATTATTCTTCCACGTACCGTAGAGTGTATTGCCGCCCCCGAGATCAAACCAACCGACCAGATCGTCTAGCTCTATGCTGAAGAGCCTGACGAAAAACCACTGTCCGCGATCAAAATCGCTGGTGACGGTCAGAATGATGCCCATTTCCTCGCTGGAGTGGAGGTAGATGCCATCATCCACACCGCTGCCCCGCTGGACTAGGCCACCCGCCCACACGCCGTTGCCAAGGGTCTTCTCGCAGGTGTTGCTACCTCCTAGGTCTGCATCGTAGGGGGTTTGTATCAATCCCTTGTTCGATGCATCCATGATGGCGCTGTACCAAATGGAAGCCATCTTGCGATAGCCCTCATCGTTGGGATGGATTGCGTCAGCGAAATCAGCAGGATAGCTCATCCACAGATGGGCTGGGTCTGGTTCTACGGGGTCCATGTCCGCCAGTATCACCCGCTTGCCTTCTGCCTGCATGGCACTTACCAAGCTACGATACTGGGCATTGACGGGGTATCTGTTCGTATCCGTGTTGGCATCGTCAGAGGGAATGAGTGTGGATACAATAAGTGTTGTCCGATCCCAGCCAGACGAGCTGAGGATGGACTCAATCAGCGCACGAAGGCGGCTGCCGGCGTTGTTGATGTCGACCGATCGCGTACAATCGTTTGTGCCCGCGTTCAGCAGCACTATATTTGCCTTGTACCCGAGGGAACTTCGAGCGGCGGCCTTGATGTCATCTATCAAATCGCCCTCGTGGGCTTCCACATCCTATGGAACGGCGTCTTATTAGAATAAGCAGGTGATGCGGATTAAGAAGTTACTTTACATTGTCTTTCATGTCACCATTACGCTTGCTGCCGACCATGTCGACTTCCCAACCCTCAAAACGCAACTTATCGCGGAGGGGTTTGCGGTATCTGGAAGTGGAGATGGTCAGTCGTTCAAGACGAACTATACTGTCGCAGCGACATCTTAGGGATGAGGAACACGGACCCATTCCCAGTTGACGAAAGCCGACCCCAGGTAATAGACGCGCCAAGCGGTAGAATCCTTAGGGGTGGCCCATCTCTCCCGTTGAGGATCGAGATTGCGTGGTTGATTTGTTTCTGATCTCTGGTTGTGTCATTGAAGTGCTCGGTGGACAGAAAGCGACGGGCCGGCGCGGGAGCGGATGTGACCAAGTCGACAGCAAGAATCAAAAGCAAAATCCAAATTGATATGCCGATGGGGTTTCGGCAAGCCATGTTTAATTTTATGTCACTGAGTAACACTAATATGATGTAGTAGACTGAATCCTTGAGAGTCTGAGAGACAGTCACAAGAGTCTTCACGACAGTCATACAGCATCCGGGAACAGTGCTTGTTTATATACAGGTCAAGAAAGCAACTGCATATCAAGAACCTATGGTCTTATCTCTTTGTTGGCATCCTATCTTAGCTTACATTGTAGAGGCGTGTCCACTTCCAGTCGAATATTCAATAATCTATGGTACTTGACAAGCGAGAAGGAATGCGTTGTTATGCTTCACCGGAACGACTGCCTCTGCAACACTACTTTACCTCGGAGGGCTTAGTACGAGGACGGAAAGGCCGGCGAGTGAGGTCTAGACAACTGACTGCAGTCTACAGACAGAAGCTTAGCGAATGTGACACATACAGAAGCTCATCGGTAGGTTGGCACACTTGCTAGCTAAGGAGTAGGAAGATAGCCGCCTATTGGACAGTGAAGTCCTTCTTGCCGATAGGCAAGGCATTGGTTGATCGCTGTATCTACTGTTCACAAACACTGTTCCTTGCATCAATACCCGAGCATCCTGGTAACAGATCGCAGGGATATGGGATGATACACTTGCAAGGAACGGTCGGTGCCTCGATAAGCTTAGTTCATCGACACACATTTGAACGCTATACGGGTGTCTTCTACTCCAACGGTCGTGTAAGCAAGTCGCACGGATAAAGTCGACGTAGTGGCTGCTTGCAACTCAGATATTGCGGCAATCAATTGCCATCTAGGGTAGATGACGTTAAACAATAAGGCATCTAGGACATGGCGAGCAGTAGTAATAGATTTTGGGTGGCAGGGAAACCCCGCTTTACTCTGTTTACTTTCCATCCTGGGTACCCTAAAGACGATCAAGCATATGCCATCCGTAGAATGCCGCTGAAGGTGGCAGCACAATATGGATTCACAAGTAGACAAATAACTTGAAGTGACTATCGAGGTACAGGTCGTATCGATGGTTTGTAGGCCAATACAAGCGTCTGCCAAGCCCTGCCAAGACACTACCGTAGATCACCGCCGGGATGTGCGAGCTGCAGTACCTTGCCTCACTGCCTTGCTGCCTGATACGACAGGAACCATACTATCCTACTGCAGCACTTCGCCTCACCTCACGATGCAAGCTGACCGGACCGGGCCGTCGGTGCTATTCGACCTATTATCGGAAATCAGATCGTCGGTCTGGCCCCGAATCAGGATTAGCTATGGAGTTGAGATTACCAAGCTTGTGGCATGCTTCTCAGGCTTCTTCGTTATCGTTTAAACTAACCCGCGCATTGCCTGTGGCGCAGCGCCAACTTCAGCGGTGAATCAATTCACAAACTCCAATTGAATGATGCCCAGTATCACTCTTTGCGGGAACGTAAGTAGTAGGACGATATCTCCAATCGATACCTGAACCAACGTCTTTTCCAGGAAGGATTGCAATTTCACCTATGACCTCCGAAACGCACGTGGTCGAATGAGGGATATTCCAGATGACATTTTCAAAAGTATACCGGGCGTGACAGTCATCATGACTTCCCTTGTCCACAGCCAGAACTATACTCGTGGCTTGAGCCATCAAAATGTGGCTGGCAATGTCACCTGTGGACGGAAAAGGGGAGCGGCCATGGCGAGGGGATCTATGTCTACAAGTCTACCGAGAAGGGCATCCTGGCAAGCGGCCGCATCCAGGCATGTGATGTCGTTGCGATGAACAGTGCTATTTCCTCCCACATGCTCTTACTCAACCAACCTGTGTAAGCTTGACCGAAGCGATGCATTGCATGATAGGGTCTGTATTGTGCACAGCGCAGAAGGCAAGAATGCGTACGACATCCACGAGTCCTCAGTATTTTCAATTGTAAGTCATTCAACAAGTCATGGAGAAAATTTTGCCGTGTTTCTAGAGTTAGATCAGGCTTGGAAGAGAAGAAGTCCGAGTTCAGGGAGAATCGAAGAAGTATGCAAGCATATCACAAAGCTCTCGAGACCAGTATGAAGGCAAATCATAGACTTGTAAGCATTATTTGACATGTATATGCCTATGTTGACCGACACGTTATTGATATTGCACTGATAGGCTCTAAGGGACGGTAACGGTCATCCTCTAGCTAAGTGGCTTATTCCAGACTTTAGCGTCGGCTACAGGTGAGATTCATTAGCGCAGTCGGCATATAGGAGATGCTGACAGAGTGAAGACGTGTGACTCCGGGCGTTGAATATCTTGACGCACTCGTGACGCCAAATGCTGGAGTTGTATTGGATCCTATTGCTAAGGTACGACGTTTCCTGTTTATTTACACGTAGCAAATCCTAGAGAGAAAACTACTCTTTAGCCATTCAGGGTTAGATCCACTGTTTCCTAGAAGAGAAGAAGATTGTATTCTCTAAAAAAAAAAGAAAGGTATATCTCCTAGTAGAGGAAAGAAAGATGAAGTAAGTGTCAAATGATTTATAACCTAATCGCTAGGTCGGTGGTAGTATGCATGGACTACTAATCGAGTGCGAATCACTATGAGGTATAAAGTAACCGATGTCGAGATAGAGATTATAGCTTTTATTTAGCTCTCAACTACCATTCCTCCTCTCTTTACCTCAAGCTTCCATAGCTAAGTCCAAGTCTACGACTAAGCCAATCAACACATCTCTTTTCACCCAGAACTCTTTCGCCTAAATCTTACACAAACCCTCGATAGGAGTGAGATCATCTCGCCGGCAGAGCCCGCCGCTAGAGATGCCTCACGCCCGCTAGCAGGAGTCTCCTCTTTGGCCCAAAGAGAGCGACATCATTAGGGCTAGGTTATTTGATGCTCTGGCTACATGGAGCGGATTTCTGAGGACCTCGAGGCCTTTTCAGGTGCCCTGGAGCCAGGCCACTGGGGACCTTGCGAGGCCTTTAGATACAGTGCCTTGTGAAGTATCTAGGGGCCCGCCGTTGTTCGCTGTGTATATGTAATCAGGTCAAGTAGTAGTAGTATGACATAGTAGTTAACCTAGCAATAGCTATATCATAACTATAAAAGAAAGAAGAAGAGAAAAGGCAAGTATATACCAAAAGTACGCACGCATACTATTTAACCAGGGCGTATACGTATGCATTTTCCGTTACCTTGTCAATGATACGCCAGTCGCTCGGCTCATAAGCGCCAGATCCGGCTATGGCGCCGGATTAAGTAAATCAATGGCTTTTCAAGCCTGTCACATCCTCAGCTTACAAGACCCAAGCCAATGAGTCTCGGCACCTTCGAGACCCTAAGAGTTACGGACCACACTACCACATCTCATATATGGGGAAATTAAAAAACATGATACTATATATAATATGATCGCGCTCGAGTACGTGATTGCGCCTTTACGTTTGCCTTTGATAACACCTTCGATGACTTATTTAAGAGAACTTGCTCAAGAGAAGTCCAGAGGAACAGCGGCAGCAGCAAAAGATCTGCTCCATCCATGCATGGCCCAAGTCGGATTAGCGTTAGCGACATGGTACTAGTCCGCAATTTCTGCGTAGTACTGCGTAGTAAGTACCTGAAACCCCCTGAAAACTCTGAAAAACACGCCAAGGGTCGACACTATTGGGTCCAGCCTTTCAGCGGCAACCGCTACAGCCTTATTTGGTAACCCTTGTAGAGACCATTGACTACATAGTGTTTACATAGACACTAAAGTCCATGCATAGACTCGGTAGAGTAGAATTGGAATCACAACCACCAGCTTCTGGCTTTTGGCTTCGCGCTTCATCGACCAAACTGAATAAACCCTGGCTGCCACGCAATGGAGTCGAGTTCACTAGTCTGGCTAGACTGGAGTAACAGGCCAGGGCCATGGCCAGACCGCCGCGCACCGTCGTGGACTTGGTACGAGACTCCACGCCATACCATGCCGCTCACCCTCTTTTTGGCGGGCAGCTGAGCTCCAACCCTACCCAGTACGCAGTAGGCAGTATGGAGGGTTTCCTTTTCACCTGAGTAGGTACACCTGGGTAGGTATAGGTATATAACCCAGGGAAGAACGAACTGATGCTTCACGAACACTCACACACACACACAGCTTGGGCATCTACATGTTTCATCAAGCTATCGTTCTTTTCTCAGGAACCTAACGCTTCAGTCCAAGGCAGGCAGCACAACACTGTATCACGCCTTGGTTGTCATGATGAAGAGCAAGGCCCTCCTCACTGTTGCTCTCTCCGGCCTCATTGGACTCTCCCATGCCAGCTGCGCGAACAACTGTGCTAGAGGTAGGAAAGCCCTCCTGCCCCAAGACCAATGATTATGCACCTCATCTGAATTCACTAACGGAGACACAGCCATCATTGCATCGGCCTTCCCTACGATACATGGCGCACAAGACTGCTCGTCTTACTTGGCAAGCACTGTTACGCCGGCGACTGTGTAAGGCCCCTACCCCCCCCTTGCCTTTAGCGTCTGTTATCTAACTTAACGGCGGTCGCTAGTACCTTTACCCACACTGCGATCGCTACACTAGTCGCCTCTGGCCCGACTACCCGTGTCACTGTCACCGATACCACGACGGTCTCAACAGAGACAGATGTGTCTACCACAGAGGTTGTCGTCGTGTCTACAGAAGTAGATACTCTGACGTCCACCGAGACCGTCACTCTTTCCACGGAAACCGATGTTGTCCCCGCAACAATCACCGTAACGGGTGCTGCTGCGGTGCTCGATGTTGCGCCCCGTGGTGACGGACTGACTTTCCCGACTTATGCGTCAGCCTGCTCCTCTTTCGCGAAGTACTCTTCGGCCTGCATCACCTGTCTCAGCGTGACGCCCGTCACATACACCGCCGCCGCCCCGTCCACCACCGTGACGGTGACGATCTCGACGACGTCGACTCTGCCGGCTTCCAACATCACCGAGACCGTGACCGAAAGCGTGACGGCCACTACATCCACAACGACCACGAAGACGTCCAAAACGACCATCACGACATCCACGACGGATGTTCAGTCCTTGTTTGTGACAGCCACGACACTGGTTACCAGCACCAGCACCGCCGTGGTCACGTCGACGTCTCCCGCGGCAGCTCAAGACACAGGCTTCTGCCTCAAACTCATCTCGACGAATGCAGCGCTGTCCAGTCGAGTCGTGACACAACAGGCATCAGGAGGCACCTTCTACGTCCAAGACAAAGACACCACCACGTACACCGTCGTCAAGTACGCCCTGAACGCCACCACCGGCTACCTGAACTCCATCACCTACCCCGGCTATATCATGGCCGCCTCCCTGTCGACGCTCAAATACACGAACCTGTACGGGAAGCCGGAGACAACAGTCTTGGCAGAACCCAACTACTTCTCGCCAGTGGTCTGTTCGCTTGCTGCTACCACCACCACCACCTCGGGCTCTCCATATATCCGCTGCTCGGCATCCTGGGGAGCGACCAACTGGTCCCAGTTCCAGGACCGCAGCGCCTACGACCTGTTGTACATCACCACGTCCGATTTCGTCGACGCGAATTACGACCCTGTCGATCTCGGCATCTTCTACGGAGACGACTGCGCTGCTGCAACCTCCGGCTGAAACCATACCACTCCGAACCGAGCCAAACCAAAGCAAGAAAAGCAAGCCGTATTCCAGATCTTCTCCACCCGATGTTTCTATGTATGTATGCATGGCTAGAACGCTCCCCCCACACCCCGGCCGGCCTTTACGTATAGGCGGCGCGCCGGGGGGTTTTCGCTAGCTAACCCTACACTACCCGACGGATAGCCTATATCTAAGGATGGATAGCTAAGGGTAAGTCTATCCAATCAGAGAGTAGGAAGATAAAAGTTCTTTACCCTACCCTTCCATCCTTTCGACCCAATCAGAAGAACCTTCCAAAGCCTTAAAAAGAGGCTCCTAGAAAGAGAGCCTCACAAAATAGCTCTCTGGAGTTGGAAGGTGTCTTGGGGAACAAGGCTTGTTGGAGGGAAGATAATTGTAAGGAGGTAAACCCTTATAAGGCCTACTATTGTGCTACATTGATGCAATCGCTGCATTCAATGTCTACCTTTTGCCACTTGGCGTAGCGATATAGCACAATCGTTACATTATGTACTAGCATAATGTGTATCATAGTAGTCAAGTATTTAGCTCTCTAATTCCAACACTATCAGTCTCCAAGGCATGTATGACTATCGCTCGAGTCAGGCACTATAGGTCAGCAGTAGACTAGGATATTATTCCTTTAAGGCCTTTAAAGCATGGCAGGCCCACACAAATTCTTGAAGGCAACCTAATTAAATCCTTCGCATAGTATAGGACGCTCTTCGTCTGACGGCTAACCCGAACGAGTAGCAATATATAATGTATCAACTATTTGTCACTGTAGAAGGATCGTTTATGAATCCATCTAGACAGGGTTTCGCGCCAGTCTATGGACTATAACTGAGATTGGATGGGTGAAGAAATGCTGACAGATAGCCGGAACCATAAGCTGTACATATAATTAAGAAATTGTTGCGAACTTTACCCACCACGGTTCTTGGTCTTTACCAACCAAATCCACTGCCCCCGCTCCATTTATCATAGTGGGTCACAGAAGTAATGTCTCCTGAAGCATGATAACTAAATTTCGACTTATAGCTTGCGTTTTGTGTCTCTCACTAGCAAATCGACGCACAACTCTCAACCAGGCGCCATGGATGAACCGATCCCTACCAAATTCCGCGCCATCATCGCCGGCGCTGGACCCGTGGGCTTATATCTAGCTCACGCCCTCTCTAGAGCAAATATTGACTACATCGTGCTTGAGCAGCATGGCTCGGTTATTCGGTATCAAGGTGCCGGGGTTCTCCTATACCCACAGACAAGTAGGTTGCTAGATCAGATTGGCCTTTATGAGAAAGCTGAGAAAGACTTGATGATCATCCACACCCAGACAGATCTGCTGGCTTCGAATGGCCGACTGATCAAGTCGACCCCCCTTTGGTCGATGTTAGGAGAACGGTAAGCAACTCTGCTGCATTTGCATTCTTTGGAAATTGCCGTGTATCTAAGTCTCAACCAATCAGGCATACGTACCCGATGGCAGGACTCTCCCGCGCGCAATTGCTTGCCCTTCTATATGAAAGCCTGCCGGAGAAAGAAACCCGGGTAAAAACTGATGCAGCGCTTCTCGAAATAGAAGTACAGGAGAATGGCGTCAAGGTACATTTGAAAGATGGTAGCATAGAACAGGGTTCTATACTTATCGGCGTTGATGGCGTTAACAGCAAAACGCGCCAGATAATGCAACATCAGCTAGCTCACACATCGATCGACACATGGCCTATGACGGTCACCTATCAGGGTCTCTACGGATGTTTCCATCCCTGTCACGGTCTTGAGCCGGGCACCTTCTACCAGTCACGCGACACTGGGATTGTCTTGCACGTTATGGTCGGTGCTGATAGGGGTCACTTCATCATCCTACGACCAATTTCGCCAACAGCAGAGTCGACGCGGTATACGACTGAGGATCGAGATCGCCTCGCTACAGAGGTGGCAACTATTATGGTCGGACCGGGAGTTCGCTTCCAAGATATTTGGGCGGTTGCCGATAAGGATACTGCTGTGATGGTGAACCAGGAGGAAGGATACTGCGATAAGTGGTATCACGACCGGGTTGTGCTTGCGGGCGACGCTGTGCATAAAGTTACGTCTGTCACGGGTTTGGGCGTAAACACTGGCATCGCTTCAGCCGCAGCGCTCGCTAACGAGCTATACCGCACCCTTCAATCAGGGTCTAACCCCAGCACAAAGGTTATTGAGGACGCCTTCGACCGATATCAGAAGACTCGGGCCCCCGAGGCTAGCCGACTGCATGCCTTCGGCACAAAACAAATCCGTGGCGTCACCTGGGAGACCTGGGTGGACTGGTTCTATGATCGCTTCATCAATCCTTGGATCAGTGCGGGCACAGTAGCGGGCATCATCGGGAAGCTTATTCAAAGAGGGCAAATATTGGAATACGTACCCTTCAAGGATCGGGAGGTCCAGGTGCCTTGGATTAATAGCCCTACTGTTTGAACAATTCTGATATTCAATGCGATGACTATCGGTCTTTTTCTTGTTTTCTTTTTTCCTTCTTTTGATGTTGAGCTGTCACTATACGGTTTTTACTCATAATATCTCAGCGATGATGCGTCACCGCGACCTTCGCGAACTTAGATACCTCCGCTGACCCCTTCGCTACACTTTGGCTAGGGGTTTGCCGGCTGACTAGCTTGTCTATGAGATGGGTCAGCCCTACGGCGTCAATGGCTCGATTTCCTTTCACAGTGCGGAGCGTTGGACCAGGACAAATGTCTGATTAGAAGAATGTGTATTGTCTTTTCTATTGTCTTTGAGTCAGGAGCAGAAGGGTCTGCGAGAATTTCGATGACCATAAGCCCGACTAACTCCTTTATCCTATAGCCATAGGTGCATCCTCATTTGTGTGGGTTGGAAGCTTACGAATTGGAATGAATATAGATACAACAAATGCAATACCAGAAAAGGCAATGGCCACTGCAAAGGCAGCCTTAAGTCCAACCATATACGCTTGCAGAACGCCTGGCAGGACGTCTGGCGGGAATACTTTGTGCAACTCTGAGGCGCCTGTAGCGATAACTAACGCTGGGTCTATACCTGGGGCGGTCTTGGGCAAGGTGGCGATTAACCTGTTGACAAAGGCGGATTGGCCTGCCGCAGTGCTGAATGCTCCGCCGACTGTTTGGAAAACTGTTCAAGAAGTGCGTCAGCTTGACTATAATACAGCAGCAAGGACATGAACATACACATAAGGTTAGCTGTAACGGCTGCAATGTCCTCGTTGCCGACGTAAGCCTGAACAACACTTAGCCCGTGCATAATGGCAAAAGCCATAGCCGCACCAGTGAAAAACTGATAGCCAACCCACTTGCTCATTGGCGTGCCAACGTCGAAAGTGTACAGAAGACCAACAGCCACAGTGGTAATCATGGAGCCGCCAAACATAACCTGCTGTGCGCGGCCGGTACTAGCCACAACGAATCCACCGGCGAGTGCAAACACAGCAGCCGCGAGCATGAGGGGAAGGTTTTGAACGCCGGACCTGATGGGACTCGAGCCCTGGATACTTTGGAAGTAGAGCGGAAGGTAGTACAGGAGGACAATGTAGCTGCCCATAAAGAAGAATTGGAAGGGTGCTGAGGTTGAGAGGGATCGCTGCTTGTAGAGACGCGGCAGCATCATAGCGTATTCACCCAACCATATTTCCCATGCAAGTATGGCGATCGTTAAGAGTCCGAACCCTACAAGAAGTCCGATAACTGTGCTGCTGTTCCATGCGTGAGAGACACCAGCGTACTGTAGGGCGAGAATGAAGCTGGTGATCTCTCCCATAACCAGAGCAAAGCCGACTGGGTCGATGTGCAGCAGCTTTTGTTTCAAAGGGATACCTGGAGGTGCGGCGGCAGCTGGAAGATAGAAGAAAAACAAGACGACCACGGCGGCAGCTCCTCCGATGGGTAGGTTGATATAGAAGCACCACCGCCAAGAGACGCGGTCAGTGAAAACACCACCGAGAAGAGGCCCACATACACCTGCAATGCAGTACGTCATGCCAATAATACCCATCATCAACGGACGTTTGGTTGGCGGGACGGTAAAAGAAATGATACTAGCACCACCGACTGAGAGACCGGCACCACCGAGGCCTGCGATGGCACGTCCGACGATGAGGGTCTTTGAGTTAGGCGCGACCGCACAAACCAAGCTGCCAACTTCGAAAAGAAGCATAGATACTAAGAATGTCCATTTGAGGTTGAAGTATTTGTATATCTTGCCGGCAGGGGTCTGCCCGGCACCGAAAGTCATGAAGTAAGCCGCAGCATACCAAGATACGTCGTTGAGGCCGTGAAACTCGTCTGTGATTTTGGGAATCGCTGTGCCAACAATGGTCTAAGTGGTCATTCTCTCAGTTAAGTCCTTGATGACGGTCTAGCATAATACTCACCTGGTCCAGGGCTATCAGGAAAACAGCAATGATGGATGCGCCCGAAAGGAGCCATAGCCGGAAGCCATGTGGATATTGGTCGTCGGGTAAGGCGGCCGAAGCTGGATTCTCGGCTTCGATGCTGCTATTATCACCATCCTTCTTCTTCTCATCAATTATATTCATGCTTGAAGGCCTAGACGAGTTGGGTTCGTCGGTCACCGTTGCCGGCTTGTCGACTGGTGTGGTCATTCTGGACTAGTTGGTCCCGATACTCTTAGCCCGAATCAGGATGACTGTTTACAGAAAGTGTTGAGAAATTTCTGCCATTATATATGTCAGATAGAAAGGATGGATTGGGCGAGTCTTACGAATCTACTACTTTGGTAAGGTCCGCTTAGCCCAAATCCTGAATGGGGCACAGGTCATCTCCGCTGTGACCGACATTGGTTATACACCGAGAATCCCGGAGCCGGCGCAAAAAGCCAACCGAAACTGCAAAATGAGGGTCTCAGGGTTTGTTGGATGATTAATTAGCGTGGACGCCCCATAGTAAGACCGTGTTGATTTCCTAATGTGTACAAAATGTCAGCCTTCTAGCGCTCCCATTCGGCATAACATTGGACCACCGGACCCGCTTCCCAATCCTACATAGAGACTCGCGTCGTAATTTCCAGCATGTATATATCCGAGTCTCCACCGTCTTAATATAAAGCGAATTCTCTTGAATTTTTAAATGCCGTCCATATACATTGTCAATAATCTCTTTACACTCTCAAAAGGAGAATGGAATTGTTGAAGTTGTCTGCTATAAATGTCTCTTAATATGGAACAACTGGACTTTTACTTTCTTTCTTTCTTTTTTCTTTTGTATAAAACTCAAATACTTATATATTACCTAGGTTGGCCTCCTAGGTTGAGCTTGTAATTTGCTTGGAAAACGTCGTGTCCTGTCATAGAAGAATGCGAGACTTTGAAGGCGAGGAATTGTCCGCTGCCAATGTTTGATGGTGGAGGAGCTTGCGGGACGTCGTCGCTGTACCTACTAAGCATTTTATGCAGTCTCTCAATAGAAAGGGCCATCGAGCCCATACAAATGTGATTGAAGTGATGACTAGTAGGTGTCTGCCTGTGCACACGCTCAACCAATACTGCAAGGGTTGCCTTCGGATCTGATGATAAGAGTTCTTTGAAATACGACATCCGTTTTGCTCAGGTCGCTATCTGTGCAAATGCATTCCAATTATCTAGCATGATAGTAGTTAGACTGGGATTGTTTAACACTCTACCGAATAGCTTTAAACTTAACCATGTGAACTGAAACGACCCTAACCCAAGTCATAAGATATATAAGATCACGAAGGGATTGATTGTACTGACACGAGAGGGTTTATAAAGATTCGGGACCGAGGCTGGTTCATTAGCGACAAGCCATCAGCCGAGGAGAACTAGACAACACGCTTCATCCCTGGCAGGTAGTGGTAGAAGAACAACACGTCCCCTAATAAGATTCTCGCAGCATAGTGAGATTTGAATGGAGCAAATGCATCCATAATCTTTTCCAATTGTTTCCACAACACTTCTGCAAGCACGACAGGCGACCAGAAACAGCTGTGACAGGAGGATAACTAATACATTGTCGATTATTATGAGAGGCTTAACAATAAGGCTGTATCGATTCATTTTAGATGACACGGGTTTTGATGGCAGTGAAACTTCACTCATTAGTGCGATTTCATGTCCCCATTGCAGTATTTGCGCCAGGACACTGTCGAAGCTGACCCTGAGCGGTGGCGAACCCTCTTCGTGACGAAAAGTGCTGCTACTAGGCAAGATTTCAGCATGAGCAGCATTAAGCATAGTTTTATAAAATATAAAGCATTGAAGCTGATTAGGTATTGGCTGCATCAGGTATCGACAATATTTGTTACCAACTCTTAAGTGGATGAGCTGCTTGCCCAGTGTGGTAGAGTATGATTTCTGATTGGGATCAGGAAATATTCAAAACGTAAGGGTATGATCAGGGTATAAAAGCTGTTATAGTCTATTCTTAAGATGAATGTAATGACCAAGAGCTGGAGAGTTAAAGAAGATTCAAAATGCTGAAATGGTCCGGTAACCACGTGCACGTGCAACTCACAACCTAGGGTTGCGCCTGTGATCGAGTAAGCAGATGCAATGCTAGGTTCCATCAGATCAAATGAAGACTACCCGTCTAGGTGCTGCTCAAGCGCCATTAGCTTTATGCTACCTAGGTAGGTAACTAAATCTGGTAAACCTCTATACTCTAAGCGCAAACTTTCAAAGGATATCAGTATTATATTTGACAATTGATACTAATCGAGCAATTGTGGATAATCCACCCAGATTCTACTAGCGTTGAGCTTCGACGTTACTCCCATGTGTAGTTTCCTTTTGCTTGATAGCCCATGCAAGCTCTTCATCTGCTTGGACTGTCCTTCTGTTATCTTCCTCTTGAAGCTTGATGTTTTGCACGAAATACACCATCACTAACAAAATCCCTGACACACAGACTGATCCGATAGCAAGAGTCTGCTGCGTTTCTCGGTAACACTCGTCAACAGCATTCCTCTCTGGACTACCGACAGGGAACTTCCTCGCAACAACAATTGATCCAAAGATACGCCGAGCTTCTTGGGCACCAAAGTGTGCGGTAAGCTTTCGAGGGAGCAAAGAGTTCCAAATGCCGCCGCTGATGGTCGTTCCAAGGTTCGAGCCAAAGCCGAGAGAGGAAAGGTAAACAGCAGTGGCAACGGCGACTTGTGAGTTCTGTAGAACAGCCTGTAGCGAGACCTGTAATGACACCTGAGCGAGACCTCGGCCAACCCCAAGTAGTGACTTAGAAGTAATAAAGGCAGGTTCGTTGGCAATATGAGTTCCAGAAACGTTGGTGAGGTAAATTGGTAAACCAGAAGCAAGAATGATGAGCAACACGCCAAGCATGATAAGCGGTTTGGTATTTTTTATGTACTTCAAGCAAAGACCCGACACCAAAGCTCCAATATTATAAGCGACACGCTGAGCATTGTCAACTCGAGTCGCCGCCCCTGGGGAGTAATGCCCAGAAACTTGCAAAAAGCTAGAGAGAAACGGTCGGTAAATGCTATCTGACATAGCAATGGTGCATGCAGATGCACAAGCCACAATCACATTGCGCTGTCTGATGGTCCGATACGGGATGATGGGATTCGTAGCAAATTTCCCGTCCCAAACGAGGAAGCCGACGAAGGTTAAGACTCCGATGATAAGCAGGACGATGGATGATGGTCTCTCCCACCTGTCGGTGTTGTTGCGTCCAGCGATGGTCATGGGGAGCAAAGTCATGGCTAATCCTCCAATCAAGAGGATTGTGCCGATGATATCAAGCTGTGCGAAAACATGTTTTGTCCGGCCAATAAATCCTGAAGGGGCACCATAAAACAGAGAGAGACGCTCAATGAACAACCCAGTCTGCTTGGCCCGACGGGTCATCCATAACATTATGGTGACTGTCGGTATCGCTGTCACGGGGAGAATGATTGCCCACATGCCATAACCCCACCTCCAGCTTGAATGTATGAGCATGTGCTCACCAAGATAGGTGCCGGCATAGAGCGTGGGAATCGCGGTTAAAGACTCGGGTAATGTAAAGAGAAGACCTCGGTTTACAAGGCTAGTGACGTCGGCAACAAATATCTGTTGCGAGATGTTCCACCATGTGTCGCCTAAGGAATCGAAAATACCTCCAGCCTACTTGATGTCAGTCGTGATTGCATCGAGATACAGTGCGGCAGTAATACTAAGAAGACGTCAACGTTCTGACAGGCTGCAAACATGACGTTACCTAGCGCCATGCACAAAGCACCTCCGGCAAAACCTTGGGGTCGACCGAAATGCTATACAAGCGTCATCAGTACTTGTCAATACAGCTACGTGTACTGGAGACGTACATCGGCGAGTCTAGCAAGGAGTGGGTATGCTATGATCCGCACGATACCGTTGATGATTGAGCCAGTCGTTAACAGCGAGTGTCCATCGAAATGGCTGGTCGCATATGGTTCGTACACGTTCTGTGTATATACCGTAAGGTTCATGAAAAGGTTCATAATCAGGAGGCTAGAAAATGGTTAGTCGTCCAGATGGGATATGTCAATCAGGACGGCCTTACCAGGCAATTGCGGCACCAAGAGCTCGGGGACTCCATAATTTACGCAGCGCCTCCGTCATCGTCTTGGGGATCGGGTCTTCCGCCTGATGCGGGGGACCATGGTCAATTTGTGGGACGTCTCCCATTCTCTCTTTGTTTGATTCTACAATGATTATACAACAACCAAAAGAAAGTTTCCAAAGCACAAGTGTGGGCGTCTACGCTTCTTAAAGAAAACCCTGCAGCGGCCCCATCTCCTAACCCGGTGGTGACCGGGCTGTGTACTATCTAAGTATGCTTATTCTATATGAACTCTGCTGGCAATTACTATCTGGTGGAGAGGTCGGATACGAAGATTGTGCAACGGTCCGTCTTGGCAATTGGATATTGCATTTCGCTTCTTCTCAAGACTCGCGATCCTGAGATTCAATTGGTAAGTTGATGGATCTAAAGTTATCTGAGTTATTTTCCCACGATTTTGTAGATCTTATCTCCACATATCAAGGCTTGGCTGTATCAGAATGGGTTACGATAATTTGGCATCAACTTATCTGATCTCTCCACTCTGAGAATTAGCCAATGAGGTACGAAGTGCGCAAGGATATATGGACACCGATGCTTACCAATGTACCGACACAGCGCTAAGGAGGCAGGCAGATTTCTGCCTGGAGAGGGTTCATAGTCTTCATAGGGTTCTCGAGGTTTTGAGGTTTTCCGCTACTGACCGTTCTTTCCCGCTTGATCCATCCGCCTAGTATCAGCAATTGATTAATCTTCCACACAGTGCAAACCGAGAATGAGTCAGCAGTAGCGTTATGGCAGGCAGGAAGACTTCGGATGGAAGGATTTCTTGGACACTTTATTGTAGCATTTTTGGTAGGCGATTGGTAGAGTCTTAACAATGCTCCCCCACGTATTGGTACAAAGACCTCACCGGTTCGTGCGACGGGCTGCGCGCATTCGCCTCTCCGAAAAGAATTTCGCGCTAATAAAATCTGATCTTACCACATCTCAACGTTTTAGGTCGGTATCCAGCAAA